GCCACATCATGGCCACGGCGCGCCGACGGTAGCGTTGGGCTGTCACCAGCGGTTCGAAGAGGAGCGCGGAAAGCGTCGTGGGAAGTTCGAGCTCGAGGGCGTCGACGAGCGGCTGAAAGACCGCCCACACGGCAGTGACAAATTCGCAACGAAGCAGAAGATGGTCTAAAACAAGCTTGGTTGTATGAAACCAAGGGCTCTATTTCTCAAACAACGCAAACATCTCGTAGGCGCCGGGGGTGTTTCGCGCCTGTAAGGAGTCAAACCAGACTTTTCAAGTAAAGGTGGCTCGGCGAAACCAACGACATTTCGGAGGTGACATCTCCTCTGATATCTCGGGGGTTAAAATAACGCACCGTGCACATCGACCTGGGTGGCACTGACACGAACGGCCACGACGTGGGCTCTGGAATATGTTGTAGAAAGATTTTTTCGAAGGCATTTGTGTTGGATCAAAATCATAGCCGCATCTTATCAACATCAACAAAGATTCTTCTCCGCAGTGCCGGGTCCCAACGATGGCCCTGGTTGAAGATCTTAAAGTGGGATACAGCATGCGTTGGGGCATCGCAGCAACTCGCACAATCCCACGCAAACCTGATTGTCCTCCTACCAGGTACTACAGTGCAGTTGGTGCAACGCCGGGGGCGTTCGACGGGCGCGCCGCTGGACATATGACAACAACCGGCGACCCGTTCAGAGAAGGTCGCCCACGCAGTGTCGTCGGGACGCTTTGGTTCTAAGACGCACAATTCATTCCTCCTTCCGTGTTTGCTGAGCCGTGGGAATGGCATGAAATTTGGCGCCCGTCCGGATACATCAGATATGGGGAAGCGGAAGAAACCCCTTCTCGCTACTTCAATGAAGCCACCGCAACTGCAACACCACCCAAGCTACTGGCTTGCGACTGCAACTGCGGTCGCCCGAGTAGAGCGTGGTAGCCAGGCTCCTCTTGCAGCCAATTGGGAAACACACCTCTACGTCCGCGGTCCCAGCATGCTCGCAGCCTTGCCTCCTTCCAGTCCAAGCACACCCATACCCATTCCAACGGCATATCATATGACAGTGACGTGGCACACGCGGAGGTCGCAAACGATTGGACAGCGATCGCACGTCGTAAAACAAGCCAATCAAACGCCTTTCGATAGTCTATTCAGCCAATCCGATCCACGTGTGGCACCAAGGATCCCTCCTCCACGGGTAGCCTCTCTGACCACGATCTGCGTCGTTGACGGATGGTAGTCGTCAAGCTACCGAGCAAGAAGTGACGTCGGTGCTTCGACGCTTTCATTATTCCACCCTTTTCCCATCCTATTTACATCCAAGACTCTGCATCGCAGTCCAGCAGTGGCAACGCTTGCATTCATTTTCCGATTTGCTCGCAACTCCATCAACACCACCACCACAAATACCATGCAACTGCTCACGACGACAGTGCTCTTGGCCGCGATGGCCATGGCCACGACCTACGCCCGGACCTGCGGCGCGCCCGAGTGGAACACTGATTTCTACGGCAGTGACATGTCCAACTTTGGCACCACCGGCGACTTTGGCAACATGCTCCAGCAGTGCTGCGACGCGTGCACGGCCAGCAGCACGTGCGTCGCCTACACGCTCGCCGACAACGTCTGCTACCTCAAGTCGGGCGCCAGCAGTCGCCAAGCCAAGACCGGCGCCACGTCCGTGCTCATGTCGGGCACGTCGCCGCCAGTGAGTACATGCAGTGCGCCGGAGATGAACATCGACTACTACGGCAACGATATCTCCAACGTGGTGGTCTCGGGCAACCAAGCCGACCAGCTCCAAGCGTGCTGCAACGCGTGCAGCAAGACCCGGTCTTGCACGGCGATCTCGGTGGCCGACGGCGTGTGCTACCTCAAGTCGTCGGACGCTGGGCGCAAGGCGAAGCCGGGTGTGGTCTCGGCCAAGACGACGTCGGTGACGACGACACCGACGCCTACACCGACACCAACACCAACACCAACGCCGGTTGGCAATCGCACGTGCGGTGCACCAGTCTGGAACACCGACTACTACGGCAACGACATCTTCAACTTTATTGCGACCGGTGACTTTGGCACCATGCTCAAACAGTGCTGTGAAGGGTGCAAGGGAACGCCCACTTGCGGCGCGTACACGCTCGCTAACAACGTCTGCTACCTCAAGACCGTCGCGCTCTCGCCCCGGACTGTCAACGGCGCGACGTCCGTGATCGTGCCGCCGGTGCCAGGCACGGAAGTCCGCTACTGCAGCAGCCCCGAAGTCGACTACGAATACGTTGGCAACAACCTTACCATCTTCAAGGCGACAGTCGATGGGAACGCGATGCTTAGCCAGTGCTGCGAGAAATGCATGAAGAACCATCGGTGCAAGGCGTACGTCTTGTTTGAAGGTTTTTGCTACCTCAAGTCGGCAACGGGGATTCGCTCGAGCAAGGTCGGCGCGATGGCCGCGTCCATGGCCACCATGACGTGGTAAGACAATAGGTACCAACCGGCTACCGTTTTTGCATGTTTTTGCTAGTTTGCATAACTTTAAATGGATTTTATAGCTTGTTTTGGACCAATCGCTGCGACGAGGTTGAAGAGTTTTGGTGGGTCTGTCTAGACGGGAGCTACAGTGCTGCGGAAGATCAAGAGATCATCTCTCGCAGGCATCGTGCTGCTACAGTATACTAATGCGCACCGAGGGGCATCCTTGTAGAGAATGGCTGTGCGCTGGCCTCATGCTCCAACGGCCTTTGACCCTTTTGCATACTAACCGTGGAGGCCACACACTAGTTGCGACCTCTGCATTACGAGACGTCATTCTTGTAGGAAAGGGTGCGTGCGTTGGTTGCCTGCGCCAGAGCAGCCACGGCGCGGTTGTTGTCGAAGCGGATCCTCTATCAAAAGTCGATACAAAGAAATGTAGTACGCGAATAAGAATGCCCGACTTTCTTTGTCGTGGTGTACACTTGGGTCAGGAGCTTGATCGTGGGCTTAATAGCATCCTGGTCATATATTCCTATAGCAAGGTATTGGAACCTCGATAGAGAGACCTTATCATCACCAACATCGCTCAGTCGTTACCAACCGCGCCAAATCGCAAACAACTGCTCTCGGCCGCCGCCGACCACCACTCTCGGACGCGTTGTTCGTCGATCAATGTATGTCGGGCGGACCTCGATGCGGCACCACGCGATCGACGACAGAGATGGCGACGAAGCCACAACGTGTAACTGCGCCGCGCTTGCCTCGGTGGCGACCGCGGATTGCGGTTGGACATGCCGTCTGCGTGCGAACTCCGACAATTGCGGTCTCGTTTTGACAACCGCAGCGCGCCACCGTCCACGGCCTGACTGATAGCGACAACATCGGGACGTCGGCAACTGCGCCGGACGTCAGCAACTGCGCCGAACGTCAGAAACTGCCGTCGGACGTCGCCAAGCGTGCAGCCACCTGCCTCTCGATGACTGCAACTGCCGTCGGATGCATGCAACCGCAGCCGGACGCTGTCCACTTACTTTGTGGCGCCGGTAACTGCCGTCGGACGTCGCCAAGCGTGCAGCCAGCTGCCTCTCGACGTATGTAAACGCAGTGGACCGTCGACAAACTGCAGTCAACAGCCCGTCAACGTCTGCAACCGCCGCCGGACGTTGGTCGCCTATGCGCCGGCGACGACTACCGTCGGACGTCGACAATCTACAGTCAACGGCAGCTGGATGTCTGCAGCTGCAGTTGACCGTCGACAGCTTCACCTCGGCTCCCGGCAACTGCCTCTCGCAGGTCGACAACTGCCTCTCGGTCGTCGGCAACTGAGCCGTGCCGTCGACAGCTGAGCTTGACGTCGATGATTGCGTCCCTTTCAGCATCCACACCCCGATGGATCCGTTCCCACGATGGCTTTGCAGAGCCAGGGGAAGACACGGAACTGCTCAGCATCGGTGGGTCACGGATGCTATGCCCAAGCGCATGCCGTGCAAGACGGTTGGCAGTCGAGCAATTGCAGCAAACGACCGTTGCAGCGCCGTCAAGTGTCACTTGAGCAACGACGTCCAGCCCACCGTCAAGGTGCGTAGGCATCACTCTCTTGGTCATGCTGGACACTACTGCTGTGTCGTCGACTAGCACGACCTTGTCGAGCACCGGGGTTACGTCCACATCGGGGCTCCGTGGCGTCTGTGGCGTCGACGGTGGTCGTGCCGTGTGAAAACTCTGGTCGACTATTTTGTTCTTGTCGAGCACAGTCGTTGTGTCTTGGTCGGGAACGACCTTGGTCACACTAGGCAACGTCTCCTGTCGGTTAACGGTCGAGCATTGCCGTCGCTAAGGTTGCCGGAGTCATCAATCGACGGTCCTTGCATGCTTGCTGCCGTTGCTCTTCCACTGGCTCCGCCAAGCGGTCGTTGAAGCACGGGTATAGCGTCGCCGGGGATTGCAGCCGCCAATGCTCGCCTTGGTAATCGGTGCCCGACGTTGGTACGCCGGAGGCATCGAGGATTGTCGATCGTTGCGCTGTGAGCACCGTGTCACCAGGCATCGAGGCGGCACCATTGTGAGTGCCGGTAGTCGCAACACCAAAGTCCATTTGGTCCGTCGTTGCGCTGGCATGGTGACGCGCGACGACGTTGCGAGCAGTGCTCGTCGTGGCAGTTAAGGGCGTCGTCATCAACCGCTGCACCGACATGTCAACGGCGGCAGCCGTCGTGATCGACAAATGCGCAGACACGTCAATGGCGAGCGGCATCGCGAGCAGCAGTCGTGTCAATGGAGAGTGCCATTCTCGGTGGCGGCTGCACCGCCTGTCGGCGTCGACCGGTGCCAATATCGACCGTGAGCGCCATCGTATCGACAAGTTAGCATTTGCCAGCGACCATCTTGACCATGAGCGGTGCCGTAGATGACCATGGCATCGATCTGTTGACGTCGATCCTCGTCGTTGCTGACGTTTGCCATCTCAATATAGACCGTCGTCCACGGGGACTGTTGCACCGTCGTGTTGGTGTCACGAGTCGATAGTCTCGACCATAGATACCGTCGTTGTTGGCTGTGGCACCGACGACTGGCGTGCCACCGTCTGGTCGCGTCGCAGTCGGTTGTCGATGAGACCATGGGGAGCTGGTGCGTCGACGTAGTGACCTTGGAGTTGCCGCTGTCGGTGGTCGTCGTCGGCGTGAGCGCCGTCGCAGCATCGACACGTTGACTTGAAGAGGCACCTCAACATATCTTGACATGGCGACGACTGGCACCGAGTTGTGCTGTAGTGTACCGCGTAGGTATCATCGCGTGCTGGTCATGCGTCACGTTGTCGCTCTTCCCCTGGCACCGGTGCGGTCGCAGTCAGCAGCCGTTGCGTGTTGCCGCGGTACTGGTTGCGGAGGAGCCAAAAACATCGGTGGTCTCGGTGGCGCAGACACCTACCGACGTTACGACATCGCGGTGCCTCCTAGGTCGATACAACGGTGTCCATGACGAACGCGACGGCCGACGATGATTCACGCCTCAACGATGCCGGCGAAGGCGACGCCCGGTTGTGAGACGTACGTGAGTCGACGCCGACGTCGATGCCGCGACGACGCCGTGACGCTCAAAATGAACGATCACGGTAACGCCAGACGTCGACCATTAAGTGTCCAGTGCTACAACGACGGACGACGTGCTCAAACAGTGCTGTGACGGTTGCAAGGCCGTCGCTACTTGTAGCGCGTACACACTCATGTGGTGGTGACGTGGCAGCCGGACAGCGATTTTTTACAAGAATTACGATAGAGTCAAAAAACGGTCTATCTATTAATTGAATAAGGACTTTTTTGCGCGAAGCGCGGCACGAGCGCAGCGAGGGCACCCGGCGATAGCCGGGCCCGTGCGCTAGCACGGCAACGTCGTTGGAGCTCTAAATAATGTGTTTTGACGCGCGTAGCGCGTCGCGAAGGGTCACATTCGGTTAAGTACGTCTGGCCTCCAAATGTCCTCCTTTTTGACTTGGCGTTTGTAGCAACGTTACAAGTGCGCAATCGTACTTAACCGAACAGCGCGCAGCGCGCCACGAGCGAAGCGAGTGCACCCGGCGCAGCCGGGTCGTGCGCGATAGCGCACACTACGAGCGTAGCGAGTGCATCCGGCGATAGCCGGATCCCGCGCGGTAGCGCGGTTTATGGCATATGTCATTTGTATTTGCCATAGCGTACTTAACCGGACACCTTTGGACTTGATCCGCGCGCAGCGCGCCACGAGCGAACCGAGTGCATCCGGCGATAGCCGGATCCCGCGCGGTAGCGCGGTTTATGGCATATGCCGTGGGCAAGCGCAGCAACTGCTCTTGGCATCGATGTGCGCAGCGCGAGCCACGAGCGCAGCGTGTGCATCTGCGGTCGTGCACAGCAGTGCGGTAGGGTAGTGTGCGCGCGCTTGGCCACGATGTGGCGGCGCGGCGCAGAGAGGCGGTCGAAGACTGTGGTCATGGTGATGAGGCACGGTAGGGGCTTATGCCATGTGCGATCGTAGTGAGTGCATGTGGCAGTCGGTGCGCCAACCACGAGTGTAGCGTGTGCATCTGCGATCGTGCACGGCAGCGCGGTAAGATTATGTGGGTGATAGTGCAATGGATGAGTGTATCGATTG